TATTATACACATGCTAGAACACATACACTGCAAGAGAGAAAAAAGAAATCCCACTGGGGATCTTCACTGACTTACGTATAGCTTTTGATACAGTTGACCATGACTTGCTCCACATAAAATTGTCACACTATGGTATAAGAGGGCACTCCCTCAACTACCTAAAGTCATACCTCAGCAACAGAAGCCAATATGTGTACGCAAACGGGGCAAACTCTTCCGCACAGCCAATTACAGTTGGTGTCCCACAGGGAAGTGTCCTAGGCCCTCTTCTCTTTCTCATATACATAAATGACCTACCAAATGCATCGTAATTACTCAAACCCACACTATTTGCAGATGACACTACATAGGTCTTCTTTCACCCAAGCCCAGTCACGCTAGCCAATACTGTAAATACCGAATTAAAGAAAATATCTACCTGGATGAGGACTAACAAACTTACTCTAAACATTGACAAAACCTACTTCATTCAGTTTGGTAACAGAGCTACAGACGTCCCTCTTAACATAATGAGTAACAGATCACCTATCACAAAACTCACAGAGGGAAAATTCTTGGGAATCCACCTTGATAATAGACTCAAATTTCAAACACATATACAACAAATTTTCAAAAAAAATTCCAAGACTGTAGGCACACTATCGAAGATACGGTACTATGTTCCACAGTCAGCCCTCTTGGCCCTATATCACTCACTTATTTACCCCTATCTCACCTATGGAATTTGTGCATGGGGCTCAACAACAATAAACCATCTCAGATCATTAATTACCCAACAAAAGGCTGCAGTCAGATAACAAATTCCCACTACAGGCAGCACACTCCACCAATATTCAAAACTCTAACCCTACTCACCATACAAAACATCCATACTTATTACTGCATCTATTACATACATAGAACACTTAACTCTGATATAAACCCTCCCCTCAAATGTCTCCTTACCAACCTCAACAGAACAGATGACCATAACACAAGGCACAGATCACTCTTTGATGTTCCTCGTGTCCACCTCACGCTATGCAAAAACTCAATGTACATAAAAGGCCCTAAAATCTGGAATTCACTACCTGTGAATATAAAAGAAACACTGTCTGTTTATAAATTCAAGTCTCTTCTCAAAAATCACTTACTCACCCACAACTAAATAAATACACTGTACTGAATAACTGTATCACATAAGTTGTATCTCATAAATGTTTCTCATTATTGTATCTCATAAATGTCTAACCTGTGACCCAATCAAACTTTGTTATTTTTTTAATTACAGTACCTAACAGAATACTCCATTCTATTGAATGCACAGCAACACAGTCTTTGTAATACTCATTTGTGCTAAATTGTTATCTGTTTACAATAATGTTTTTACCACTGAATATATCATTGCTTAGTTAATCTTAAGTTAATTTTAAGCCTGCCCATAATGCTTTGCATACAAGGGGCTTTGGCATGTTGCACTTTAATAACTGTATTCCTTTGTACTTCCCTGTATCATGTTCAAATAAATAAATAAATAACTAAATAAATAAATAAATAAAGCAGCAACAAGGCTGCTCCTATATCTTGCTGTCCCCTGGGCCTAACTGAACTCCAGTGATGGCCTAATAAGTAAGTAAGTAAGTAAGTTTATTCAGGTATACACAAATACAGTTACATAGAATTATCATACATAACAGCATATGTGTAGAGAACCTAGGATAACCCAAAAAAGTAAAAAACATGCAAGGAACCTATAGTGACATGAAAACTGATGGTGAGGACAACGAAATGAACTAAATATGACCAAAAGAGGGACCGGCATTCAAGTACCAGACCTGCTGCAAGATGTGAACCAGACATGCGATGTTATTCACTACACTGAAATAACTGACCTCCATACCATATCAACTGCACAGTGTTCAATGGGAAGACAGCATGGGAGAAAACCTAACAACAAAACTCCAAGGAAATGACAGGTCTGTAGGACTGTTTTTTCCCTCAGTGCCAAATGAGGGAAGTAACTGAGCATTTAAACATGGCTGATCGGCATCCAAACACCAGCTACTGCCAAATGTACAACTAGTGAAGTGAAGTTCTCATTTATGCTGACGTTCATCTGTACTGATAGTAGCATCATATCAACTGCACCACCATCATATCACCTATACCAGAGTTAACAAGAGGGAAACACAGAGGCATCGAAATCTACAATACAAAACTCCAAGGAAACTATCATATGATGATTATCCCTCAGTGCCAATCGTGGGAAAGAAGTGAATAGTTAAACAGCTAAGGTTAATGTTTTAGTAGCTAACCTATATTCAGCTGACCAATGTACAGTGGAGAATCATAGGAGAAAATGTCAAATCTATCTATAAAACTCAAGGAAAGTCAGGTTGTAGATGGCATTTTCTTCCCTCAGTGCTTTTAAAAATGGCTAAAACAGCAGACCAGGTCAGGCAGTCAACAACACGATGAGCCCCAATATATGGAATTGAGGGGAATTTGGATGGATAAAACCACTGATTAAAACTTTCTGGTCCTGCCAGAATGGAAATGAGTTAGAAGTGAAGCCAGACTGTGAAGTAAGGCATGAAGGGGGGAGGTGAAATAAGGGGATAAGTGAAAGGGGTTTGTGAAGTAAAGGGATAAGTGAGGGGTGAAGAGGGTTTTGAAGTATATACCAGGAAATTTACTAATAATCAGTGGTGATTGCTAGAGCAGCTACTAGGGTTCACTAGGTGACTGGAAAAGAGAAATGAATATTGTTGTGTATGATTAAAACAGTGAAGAGTGAAAATGGCAGGCATTAGGGGAGTACAGGTTGCCATAATTATATTTATCTTTCTTCTGTAATTCTGTGAAGAAGGAAATCAGTCATGGGGGCTGGAAAAGGTGAATGGGGTAATAGCATCCTGGACAGTAAAAGCCCAACAGTTGCCACCCTACCAAAAACGTATATGTCAATATTGGTGCAAGGTATGGCAACACCGCATACCCAAACAAAAACAGTGGCACACAGCTCTTATAGTGCACTGTTAAGTGGTGATATCCAAATTAATCCAAGACCTCAAACTACTGCGCAAAGGCAAAATGGGCAGAAAAGTGATGGTGATAATGATGGTCTAGTGGCTAGGAATGATAACCGTAGCTCTATATGTAATGCACACATAGGCCAATGTGAGACAATACAGCCATTCTTATTATCTCAAACACCACCAAACAGGTGCATACACTGTACTAAAGTACGAAATAAGAACAGAAAAGACACCTTATGTAAAATGTATAAGGGGTGGGTGCATAATGGATGTATGTACAATTATAGTAATGGTGCCAGAATTTATTTTGTGTGTAACAAATGCATTTTGGCAAAGTTACCCTTTAGCAATTTATTTATTTATTTGAACACGATACATAGAAGTACATACAAAGAAATACAGTGGTTAAGTGTAACATGCCAAAGCCCCTTGTATGCAGAGCATTATGGGCAGGCTTAAAATTAACTTAAGATTAACTAAGCAATGATATATTCAGTGGTAAACATTATTGTAAACAAATAACAATTAAGCACATATGAGTATTTCAAAGACAGGTCATATGGTCATTTACTGCGTTGTTGTGCATTCAGTAGAATGGAGTATTCTGTTAGGTAATGTAATTAAAAATAACAAAGTTTGATTGGGTCACAGGTTAAACATTTATGAGATACAATTATTCATTATTTATTTAGTTGAGGGTGAGTAAGTGATTTTTAAGAAGAGACTTGAATTTATAAACAGACAGTGTTTCTTTTATATTCACAGGTAATGAATTTCAGATTTTTGGGCCTTTTATGTGCATTGAATTTTTGCATAGTGTGAGATGGACACGAGGAACATCAAAGAGTGATCTGTGCCTTGTGTTATGGTCATGTGTTCTGTTGAGGTTGGTAAGGAGACGTTTGAGGGAAGGGTTTATATCCGAGTTAAGTGTTCTCTGTATGTAGCAGGTACAATAATAAGTATGGATGTTTTGTATGGTGAGTAAGTTTAGAGTTTTGAATATTGGTGGAGTGTGCTGCCTGTAGTGGGAATTTGTTATCATTCTGACTGCAGTCTTTTATTGGGTAATTAATGGTCTGAGATGATTTATTGTACAACCATGCAATTTGTCAAAATAAACATTTTTATCTTCATCTTGTTTTATGAGTGTTATACCCCTGTTTTATGAGTGTTATACTCCTTTTTTATGAGTGTTATACCCTTGTTTTATGAGTACTATACCCTTTTTTATGAGTGTTATACCCTTGTTTTATGAGTGCTATACCATTTTTTATGAGTGTTATACCCTTGTTTTATGAGTGTTATACTCTTGTTTTATGAGTGTTATACTCTTGTTTTATGAGTGTTATATACTTGTTTTGAGTGTCATACCCCTGTTTTATGAGTGTTATACCCTTGTTTTACAAGTGTTATACCCTTGTTTTATGAGTGTTATACCCTTGTTTTATGAGTGTTATACCCTTGTTTTATGAGTGGTATACCTTTGTTTTATAAGTGTTATACCCTTGTTTTATGAGTGCTATACCCTTGTTTTATGAGTGTTATACCCTTGTTTTATGAGTGTTATACACTGTTTTATGAGTATTATACCCTGTTTTATGAGTGTAACACAAAAACTATGAAAAAATTATAAAAATATCAAGAGAAGTATCACATTTGTTTTATTATTGTTGGATTGAAGGGTTGTGACAATTGTTAGGCTGATTACTGTTCATCCTTCTCTTCTTCCTCCCACTTTTTCCAATCAACAATAATTACCACACACCACCCTGACCTCACTATCATCATAACCAAAATTTGACATACCGTGAAGTTGATTGTTAAATGAGACAAGGTGGTCATTAAATGGAAATTCCACAAAGTGAGTTTTTAAGTGAAGGATGCCTGTAGTTATTACTGTCACTTTAAATTATTATTATTATTTAATGTATTACGTGTTATACCAGCTGTACTGCCTCAGCTATGCTTTTCCATACATACCTTCTCAGCAGGCTTGAAGGAGCAAGAAATACCCTTGAGAACAAGATCAAGCCCAGGCCTGTAGCGGGTCTCGTAATTATGGAAGGTGATGCGTCCCTCTGCTGGCCATGAAGACGATGGCTTCTTCGCCACCTGCCATGCAGCCTCCTTCTCTAACTGATGACCACCACATGATTTCATCATTAACACAATTTCAATATGACATGAGCTTCTCATATTTATTGAGTGCTTAAAAATTATATAATTACTAATATTCATTGAGAGAGACAATAGATACATTACTTTAAAGCAAATGAACTACTGTAAACAAATTATAGTTAATTCTTGTACTACATGAATTATAGTGCAGCATTACCCGTGTGGGTGTAGTGGCACATGTTCACATACAATGATTAATAACACATGTTCACATACAATTATTAATGTTTACATACAATGATTAATAACACATGTTCACATAAATGATTAATACAAATGTTTACATACAATGATTAATAACACATGTTTGCATTCAATGATTAATAACTAATGTTCACATACAATGATTAATAACACATGTTCACATACAATGATTAATAGCACATGTTCACATTCAATGATTAATAACACATGTTCACATACATATGCAATAAATGTCTACATGAAAATGTGTTTACAAAAAGTTACAAACCACAGTAATAAGGTGAACTAGCATATGGATCACCAGCATGTGGATCACCAGCAAGTGGATCACCAGCATGTGGATCACCAGCAAGTGGATCACCAGCGTGTGGATCACCAGTGTGTGGATCACCAGCATGTGGATCACCAGCATGTGATAACCAGCATGTGGATCACCAGCACAGCATCATAAGGGGGGCACCCTGGGTGACACCATCAAGGGGTGGCACCATAGAGCCTCTAAAGAAGGTGACCCTAATGCTCAAAACAGTGATGCAGCAACATAAGAGAAAAACCCTTTGTTTCTATATAGCCTATTATATGATTACAGAATACAAATAGGAATATATAAGGAAAATCATTGATTTTGATGATGTGATAGATGATTTTGCAGGATTGAAGGCAATGAAATGTAAGATCTGATTCATTGAGATGTTACCTATACTCAGGGTCAAATCAGAACAAATGTTTCTCTGATATTGCAGTGTTTTTCTTAATTTTTCAAGTTTTTTTTTTTTTTTTTTTTTTTTTGCATTGTTGAAGATGAATAAATGTTGGATCTGTTGCCTGTACTCAAAGTGGTATTTGAGTTTCTATTTCCTCAATATTACTACAATTATTTATTTTATCATTAATTTATTTATTTATTTTATTTATTTATTTTTTATTTGCGTGTAGTCAGTCCGCGTGCCTCGTTGTGCTCCATGTTTTCTCGTGTTTTCACGGTCTCTCTTACGTGCTAGAACTTTAATTTGTGCGATCTTATACAATACATCTTATACGATACATCCCTCAAGCGCTTGGAACCAATCTTCAGGAGAAAATAGTATATACCGAGTCAAAAAAGGAGGATTAGTGTGCAATACCTAGCAGAGTATACTCCCAGAGGGGAATCATAGGCCTAGCATGCCGTGTGCAAAATAATAATAATAGAACTCTCTAAAAGTTTCTCCTATCATATGCCTTTTCTAAATCCATAAATACAATAAAAACTTCCCTACCTTTATCTAAATACTGCTCACATATATGCTTCAATGTAAACACTTGATCTACACATCCCCTACCCACTCTAAAACCTCCTTGCTCATCCACAATTCTACATTCTGTCTTGCCTCTAATTCTTTCAATAATAACCCTACCGTACACTTTTCCTGGTATACTCAGTAAACTTATTCCTCTATAATTTTTACAATCTCTTTTGTCTCCCTTCCCTTTATATAAAGGGACTATACACGCTCTGGCTTTTCTTTTATCTTCTTACTAGTTCTTGTTCTTACTTATTCCCACTTATCTCCATGGGGAAGCGGAACAGAATTCTTCCTCTTTATGCCATGCACGTTGTAAGAGATAACTAAAACACCGGAAGCAAGGAGCTAGTAACCCCTTCTCCTGTAAATGGTACTAAATTTAAAGAGAAAAACTTTAATTTTTCTTTTTGGCCCCTCTGCCTGGGTGGGATACAGCCGGTTTGTTGAAAGAGGAAGATATACATACTTGGAAAGTATTTGAGGACCTAATCCCAAATCTACACACTGTCATAACATACTGGAGTGAGAGATATAGGAGGAAATGTAGATTATATCAAGAGAAAATCAGGGGTACCCTGAGCACAATAAGAGAATGTTGTATCAACATTATTGGCCCCAGATTATTCAACAGCTTACCAGTAGACACCGGAAACACTGCTGGAACACACGTAGAAGGTCCTCAAGAAGAAACCGGACAAGTACCACCATCAAATGCCAGATCAACCAGGCTGTAATGGATATATGGGTGACCAGCAGCAACAGCCTGGTTGACCAGGCAAGTACCAGATAAGCCTATCCCTGTGCTGGGCTCTTGGAGTAGAAAAACTAGAAACTCATCAAAGGTATACCTACACTAAAGAATTCCTTTCCAGCAAAGAAAATGATCATTACATTACAGGATATCACTGTATGATCCACAAGGCTTTCATATTTTTTATGAATACTGTACTGTATAATGAGTGCAGGATCACAGGCCTTTAGTTTACCTATCACCTCTTATAAATCGACTATTCCATGAGACGACCCAGCAGGATGCAGGTGCCCAATCCACCCCCCTCACCACCCAGAGTGACGCATCACCAACAACAAACATGGCCGACTCACTCTCACCCACCAACCAAGGCAACTCGACTACAACAACACCAACCGTGACTGACTCCCTCTCTACCTCTACTGCCTTCATAGGATTTAACCCATCTGATATGCTCCCAGGTATGACTAATGATCCTGACACTCTAAAGAATTACATCACCACCCTAACGGCAGATAACTTGAATCTTCATGTTGAAAATATGTCTCTCCGCACAACAATAACAAACCATGAATCTAAGTTACTTCACCTTGAGAGAAAGATTAACAGCCTTGAACAACAGCTAACATCAACTGGCACGACTGATTTTGGCAAGACCCTCCAATCAGTCATAGCCAGTCACACAAATCAAATAGCTTCCCTAAACGTGAAGATTGAAGATGCTGTCAAGGACTGGAAAATAAACATGGATACCCAACTGACCAATTATTTTGCTTACCAAGATGATAAAGCAGAGCAAGATAAGCTAGCCGATGCAGTAGTGATTAACAGTCCACTCTTTCCTGGTGAATTGAACTATACCAACTGCAAAGATACAACTCTCCAGATCATACGGAACTACCTACAGGTTAATGCGCCAGTGTCGGAAATAAAAGAACCACAGTTACTAGGGAACCAAGGGAGAAAAAGTGTTATGCTCAATTTCACACACAAGACAAAAAAAGACCTAATAAGTTCATCTATTAAAACAAAAAAAGATATATACATAAATGAGTGTCTCTAAAGAAAACTACAGAACCTCCTGTACAGAGTGAGAAAACTAAAATGTGAGAATAATGATAAAATTCACCAGTGCTTGTACGTGATGGACAAATTCTAGTAAGAAAAACAAATGTAGGCCATGTGTACTACATTACAAACAAAAATGAACTAGCAAACTTCCTTCATGATGCAAACATTACAGAGTCTGACTGATATTAGTGACCAAATCACTGTACTACGTTACTGTATGTTATTATGCCATTATTGAACTAATCCCTGTACTAATACCTCCTAGATAGTATTTACTACCTCATTATCCCATGTGTCCCACACAGTTCCTTGTGCGACCCAATTTGTGTTATCTTCCCAGATTTCCCTTTCACAATTTATTACTTGTTAATAAGATGCTTAGTGTTATGGGGCTATAGGACCCAACATGTATTTATAAGTAACAGTTACTCTGGAATACCTAATTATATTGAATTGATGGGGACTCAGTTCTAAATTTCATAAGGGCTGATCAACCTTATGACTGAGAGGCAGCTGGGTCAAGCCTTTTTCTCAATATAATAGGTTATCCTATAAACACACACACAATTTAAATAAGTAGTTTATAAAGTTGTATTTCTTTTTGTAAAAGTAAAATTAAGGTGTGGTAGAATTGTGGTAACTGGAGAATTGTGCTTGACAACAGTCTTTTGTTTTGGTGGGAGGAGCTTAGCTAGAATTCTCTCTCTCTCCCTCTCTGACTCTCTCTCTCTGTGGTTGACCTTCAACCTGGCAGGATCTCTGGGTCCTTCTTCTATCTTTTGGGGCAGTATGTGTGCTCCAGGGGTGAATTTTTATAATTTAAGTTGTGGCCACCATACCCAGGGTGACTAAAGTGTGTCAAAACACTGGTTAGCCCAGAGTTATGTCAAGAAGAGAGAAGGACAAAAGTTAATAAGATACACCATGTGGGAGAACATTATTATTATTATAATCAAAAATAAGTGCTAAGCCACAAGGACTATACAGCATGTGGGAGAACAGCTATGGAGTGTGTAGATCTTTGTTTTTAAAGTGTGAGGCTGTAATTGTATATTCTGTACATATCTATTGAGAATACAGTTATATTTTTATAGTAGTAGTTTACATAACCTGTGAAGAGGGCTGGTGAGAGGATATCAGACACTCAAGATGATCAGCCATGATGTAAGTATTACCCCTAGACAGATAAGGCCATTAAGTAAAAAGCTACCCCACACTAGAACATGTAATGAGAACCTTACTATCAAAGTAATAAGGGACAAACCAACCTAACACTTAGTCTTTAATAATTTCTGTATTACCATTTATTTTTACTTAAGCACTGTTATAATTCTTTTATAATCTTACCTAATTTTCCCTTTGCTCCCAAACTATAAGTAACAAACTAGTGTATGTTCCTACTGCACTACTGTGCAATTCCTTGTACCATCTTCCACTAGCTAGTATCAACTACCTCAAATAATATTTCTTTAGTGATATTAATTGCTCAAACTTTATGCTATAAGGCAAATCTTACTCTCATATTAATTTCATATCAGTGTCAATCTATTTAAAGGTTGTTTTATCTCTACTTGATTTAGTCCCTTTTTACATTTCTCCTGAAATAATTCTCTATATACCAATACATTGTACTGCCCTTTATTCAG